TGATATTGAGACAGCTGCCACTCTGTGGATCTTCTTGTATCTTCTGGATGATAAGTTCAACAGCTTTTTGGTTTTGTTCAGGTTCTCCACTCACAGTGACAACCCTCTCTTGCAAGTTGATCCCATCGGGTTTCTGGGAAAGCTGCACCCAAGCCCCTGACTGCTCCATTATAGCCTTCACAGTAGCACCTCCCTTCCCTATTATCAGACCTGCTGTGCTGTTGGGAACTATAATCTTTACCTGTAATTAAAAAAATACATATAAATAATACTTCTGTTTTGCACACATACATTATATTACTTTGCTATCCTAGAGAAAGTAAAATAATATATTGAAAATTAGTTTAAACATAATTTACGAATAGAAATATCTCAACTTTCAAGTGACTTTTGTCATTATTTTAATAAAACTACTTTGTGCAATTAGAATTTTCAAAGAAAAAGGCAATTTTCAAGTCAGTATTATTAAACAAAAATTTACTTGAGTCTCTGTGCATTTTGCAATAGTATTTATAAGAAATCAGCATGTTAACAAAGAGGGAACCATAATTATATATCAATGGTAACATTTTTATATAGCTCAAAGATCATAATGCTGTTGATTTTCATCTATTACAGCTTTTTAAAGAAATCTTTTGCTCTAAGACATATAGACATAGAGTGCAGAATTACAAAAGCAAAGTTAATGAAGAACACAGTAGGAAAGTTCTAGCTTAAATCCTTGAAAACATTAATTTCATGTTCCTTATCACCTAGTAGTAATTGTGGGCTCATTCACAAACTGCTTGTTTCATGATTATCTTTGGAGATGAATGTCAATAGAATTATCAGTTATATATTATTTTTTCAACTGAACTGATAAACATTTAACTTTATAAAAATTAACAATTGATTTGTAAATAATTAATAATTTTAAATGTTTCAGTGACTCCAGGTAAGTTAAGTCTTTTTGAGAATTATGTCTCCTGGATGTTCTATCTACACCTGTGAATGTAAAGTGATTATTCTGATGAGGCAGGTGTTTTTCTTTTTTAGTTGACATTCCTACGTTTTTGAACATAGGCCTTACTATTGTATTACCAAAGAATAACAAAAACTTACTGCAGTCATATGAGTATTTACAATAATCCAATGTAACCATATGAAGTACAGGTATGTTTATTAATTTATGTTGAAATATTCAGCCACAAAACCAGCATGTTTTATTTAATAGTACTATAGTATATAATCAGTATGGTATTTTTTATAAACCCTAAAATTAAAAGAGACACTAACATGTAAGGTTGTATTTTAGTGGCACAGAGATTCACGTGACAGTTTCATGGTTCACTGGGGGGTCAAAGTCCCTGACTGCTATTCCACTGACAAGGCACTGAAGTAATTGCAGTCCTGGTTGTAGATACGAAGATGGGCAGGCTGACATAATTTGTTAGAATTTGAGCAGAAAATATAGTTGTTTAGTTCTAATACTCTATGAGACATTTCATTAGTTAATTTTAGCAGAGTTTACCAGTGCTTTCTTTAAAATACAGATTTGGATAAGAATATCTTTTAAAGATATGCAGTTATGCATTTGGGTAACTTGTTCTTGAAGGCAGCAAGCAGTGAAAGTATAAATCCAAATTCTAGAAGGGGTTGCCTCATAAATATATTCCTACATCTTACAAACATGCACATACATACTCCTCATTTTCTTTTCACACACAAAATCTGCAGTCATGGTAGAATTGTTTCATTCCAATTTATTATATAAACACTTCATCTTATGGAAAATAATCTAAAATTTCTAGAAATATTTCTCAGGAATGTCTGATATATCTCTCATATCCTCTGATTAAATGCTTTCAGTTTCACAAAAGACCGAAAAGTTTTTTTTTAACATTTGTTATTTTAGTATAGACTTCTTTTCACAGAAAATTATTTATCTGAAAAGTATTATAATTAGAAAGTTAAACCATGATTACACATTACTCCAATTATAAAAATGAACTAGAACCATCTTTATGTTTTACTCTGTGCTCATGAAATATTGAGAATACACTTTTAAAGATTTAATTCTGAATGTTAAATATGATATTTTAAAAATAAGCATTTGTTTTCAAAATCAGAACATTTTCAAAATAAAATATTGTTGAAAACATTTATGATTGGGCAAATTGTGGTGGTTATTATAATTTTCATGAAGAAAAGTATATGGAGGCTTTCCAAGGAGCAGGTTTTTACATTAATTTTTCTAATATCATTATTTTGTTCAATATAATATAATGCATATAACAACTCAGGCACAGAATATCATGTGCAAGGTTAATTATAACTCCTCTACAGGCTGTTAATAAAAGGTAACAAAATACATAGTTTTTTAGCATCTAGTATGAAGTCATCCAAAGCTCTTCTGAAATATTAGATGGTATTAATTTCTACTATAATGCACATCAGTCTCCCTCTAAATTTACTATATCCATAGTTTTCTTTCCTTTTTTTTTTCTTTTAACTCTATGACTAGTATTCAAAAGAACACACAAATTCTCAAAGAACTCACAAATTTGAGTATGGAACATTATTGAACATTAACTTGTCATTTAAAATTACTTTCCCTTTAATCATTATTTTATTTTCAATATTCAGGAATTCTGAAATAATATTGAGAAACAGTGGGTTTACTTTTCATAGAAGTATTTTTCAAAAATCTCTATAAAATGGAGAACTACATCATATCATCTGTCTTTAAGTATTAAAATTGTCTTACGTAGTTAGTACTGTCCTCTGGGATTTAGTTTTAAGCATCTAAAACAATCTTGTTTAGAAAAATAAGTCAAGCATAATGGCTTATTTACTAAATCTTGGTGTGTCCCCCAAATTTCACTGGCATGAATGATTTATTCACATAAAACAAAGGGTGTGTGTGTTATAAGAGCAGACATTAATGCTTACACCTTAGTATTTTTATACTATGTCGCATTTCCTAAGCTTACATAACAGGCTATTTTGTATAAGATTACTGACCTTAGAAAATTAAATGTACCCATATAAAAAGTTATCAAATATCAAAATTAAAAAATGAATGTATACTTAAAAAATGAGTGTATACTTAAAAGCCAAGGAGTATGTCACCCAAATTTTATTTTTGATATAAGGACATGAAAATCTTCTTAAATTTATTTGCTCTTTTCTCCTGAAGCACTAAAAAATAAAAAACCTAAACCTAATTGCACATTGATTATTAACCTTCTATGGACAGAGACATGAAATAGACACAGAAAAGAAGCTGAGACAAAAAGAAAAATTAGTTCATTTATATGATATAACAGCATTTTGTGTGTCAGGCCAAGTTAAGAGACACCAATGGGGAAAGATAAAAATGGTAGGCAACTGAACACTGGTAGAAAAAGAGAAAAGGAACATGGGGCCCTACATAAAATATACTGTTTGCTTACTTTTTGATATAGGGATAGAGCATTTACCAGAAGAAAAGTCTGTACATCAAATTTTCCATTACTACTGAAATAATAATAGCAAAATTTAATTGTAGAGATGGATTAATTTTCATTGATAATGTCTATTAAAGCCCTGACTGACAAATACACATATATTCTTATTTCTAAACAATTGGAAGAAAGAACTACAGCACAGAAAGTATTTTGTACATGTATACAACCAAATTGGACATGTTCCAGACAGTTACAAATAATTTTCCCTCTGAACTACGATCTTAAATGCGTTACCATTTATCTCATCATGAGATGCTTAGCTCCACTTGCGCTGGAGGCTGGAGATAGGGACCTGTATGTGAAATTGTTCCTGTTTTTAAAGAGCTCAGGTATTAGCTGGAGAAAAGTAGTCGTGTACTTATTTGTAAAGACTTCTATGCACACAGAAGTATGTAAAGACACAAAGTCTGACTAGAAGGAGAAGGGGCAGGTAAGAAAATCCCTGAGAGGTGGTCATCATACTCACCTAAATGCCTTAAACATTTCTGTCCTATGAATATACTATTTTTCACTATCACATATTTCTATAAATTTGGTCACTTCTTAATTTTGGAGTATCTCTCTCTTGAATCTAATCTCATTTTAAAAGAGGTGATCTGCTTAATTATTATTTTTAAAGTAAAAGAATCTTTACTTAAATTTTCTTTTTATTCTAGTCTGATGTGTTAGATCAAATAAGTATCAGATGAGATTAGTTATATAATTATACTAATGGTAGAGGATAAGTATCCCTTATCCAAAATGTTTGGGTCAGAAGTATTGTAGATGTAATTTTTTTCAGATTTGGAATATTTAAACATGCACAAAACTAATTTATACTCTCATATACCTTATACACATGGCTTGAAGGTAATTTTATATAATATTTTTATTGTACTTGTGTTTTGACTGCCATCTACTATACATGGTCAGGTATGGAATTTTTACATTTGTGATATCATGTTGATACTCAAAAAGTTTCAGGTTTTGGAGCATGTGGATGTTATATTTTTCAGAGTAAAGATGTTCAATCTATAGTATAACTGGCTTTCAGGACATTTGTAATCACAAAAGAAAAACTGTGAGAATCCAATGATAAATATTAAAACTATCTAACAGTAAGGGAGTAATATTGATGTTTCTGACTAAACATAAACATTAAGACATCATACTTATTTTTTTGCCAAACAGGAACTCCAATTCATTGTGGTGTCATAGTTAGCTATGAAGGGATAAGCTGGCTTGTAGGCATCATATTTCTTCACTATCATGGCAGAAAAATTATTAAACTATTACATAAAACTATAATTTAAAATAGATGAAAAAGAAATACCATTATAGTTTGAAACTGCTCAATTAACAGAATGGGTTATTAGGGATTCCATTACTACATACTATTTATGTATGATTAACATTTATAAAGCATTTCTATCAATAATAGATAACATCTATTTTACTCACTCACTCATTCACCTTGCTTATTCATTTGCTGGCATCCAATCCCTCTTCTCCTGGTAAGAGCCTCAGTTTTCCTTTGGGATACACACTTTCTCACTCTTAGTGTGTGTGCTCAGGTAGGGCTGTGATCTCCCAATGCCTCCAGGGAGTGGAAATGTGACCAGGTCTAGCCTATTTCTATTTCCATGCTCTGTCATGGTTACTGATTGGAGGTTCATTACATGACACAGGATAGTTCAAGAAGAGTTAGCTTAAGAATTTGGTGAAGCCATTGGAGACAGAGACACTTGTGTTCATAATCTAGTAGGATACCTGC